AGAGGAGGAGGAGGAGAGAGGAGGAGTAGGAGGAGGAGGAGGAGGAGGAAGAGGAGGAGGGCTAGGAGGTGGAAGCGGTAGAGAAGGAAGGAGGAGGAAGAGGAGGAGGATGGGGAGGACGATGAGGAGGGGGATGAGGAGGGGGGCGAGGAGGAGGAGGAGAAGGATGAGGAGGAGGAGGAGGAGAAAGGGGACGAGGAGGAGGAGGAGGACGAGGATGAATAGAAGGGCGAGGAGGATGAGAAGGATCAGGAGGACGAGGGGAGGGCGACGAGGAGGCAGGAGGAGGAGGAGGAGGAAGAAGAGGCAGGAGAGGGAAGGAAGGAGGAGGGAGGGAGGGAGGGACTCTCGTGCTAACAATGGAGATCACCATGTGGGGCCTACCGTCGGAATAATTCGCATGTTTCATATTGCCCTGATTTTCGCACTAGTTGCCGAGCGCGTCCAAAATCCATGATCCTCGAACCTCGATCTTCCAAGTGGTTTTCGGGCCATGCGTAGCTTGGGCCTCCGGCCAGAGTTCGGGATGGTTCGGGCGCCCCCGAAACCTTTCGATGAGGCGCAGCTGCTGGAAGGCATCCGCCACGGGTTGTGCCAATAGTGCCCCAGATTGTGCCAATAGTGCCCCAAGTTGTGCCAATAGTTCCCGGGTTGTGTCCCAGAGGCCGTTCATGCCTATATTGGGGGCGTGTTCCGTGAGATGCGCATTTCCGCTTTTGATGCGTGTTCGCCCGGCCACTGCGTGCGCCCCTTGTTTTCGTTTTTCCGTGGCTCGTGTTTTTCGAGTTCGTTTGTTGTTTCTTGTGTTTCTGTTGTTCGTTTCTGTCGTAGCGGTTTCCACATTTTGCTTCTCACTTCGGCGAGGAGAGAGGATGAAGATAGTGACGACGACGACGACGACGAGGGGTATTCCGTGACATGCCCCAGGGGGTGTTCCGTGACATGCCCCAGCGGGTATTCCGTGATTTGCCCGACGGGGTGTTCGGTGATATGCCCCCGAGGGTGTGACATTCTTGCGTGACAAGGGGGGGGATAGGAGGAGGAGGAGGAGGAAAAGGAAACGGAGAAGGAGGAGGACGAAGGATGAGGACAATGAGGACGGCGACGACGACGACGACGATGAGGGGTATTCCGTGACATGCCCGAGGGGTATTCCGTGACATGCCCCGTGGTTTCCGCATGTTGCTTTTCATTCCAGGGAAAAACGATGGGGGAAGAAGGAGAATGGATATTCCGTGACATGTCTACCCTGGTTTTCTTTGTTCTTGGGTTTCTCGCAAGAAGTGAGCTTCAAGGGCTATGGGTAGGGGGGGCAGGCCCCCTTGAATTGTCACTGCGCCCACGTAGGACACAGGCACCTGCATGGTGCCAGTGATTACTGTTTCAGCTTGTTGTTGGCTTCCGCGTCTCAATTATATGACTTTTCATGTTGCTGGTCAAGTCTTTCTCACAGTTCGCTTTGTTGTTTGCTCTTTTCGCACTTCTCGCGCTTTTCGCACTTTTCGCACTTTCCTATGTTTCGCGCTTTTCGCATTTCTCGCACGTGTTGCGCTTTTCTACTTTTCGCAATGATTCATGTTTCGCATGTTTCGCACTCTTCGTACTTTCCTACTTTTCGGGGCGTTATCCGCTTATTAAGACCCGGATACAAGCAGCATAGCTTGTTTCTCTGAGCCGATGTGGGGCCATCTTGGAATGCTCCAGGGCCGTCTCGGAGGCCATCTTGGGCGTCTTAAAAGCTTCCGTACGTGGCCAATGCTTATATATAACTATAATAAAACAAGCAAAGAAAAGTCAGGGGGGTAGCTGACACGTGCCTGCACGGCTGGAGGGAAGCCATTCCTTCGAGCCAGAATGATAGCGGGAGGCACTAGCTTGCCGACCAACAGCCAAATCACCAACTGCGAAAGGGGGCACCCCTCTGGGTCAAATGCCTTGGGTGAGGGGTCTGCTCCCGAGCGGGCGGTGCACCAGGAGAGGGGGGGCGAAGGGGATCCTAGTCCCTCGGCCCGACCTCGTGGGTGGTGGATGCCTTCGAGGCCCACCACCAGGGAGCCAAGTCGAGGGCAGGTGAATTTCTGAGCCTCTCTGGCAAGCTAGGAGGTAATACTGCTGCTTCACGAGCCCAGCTGGCGATGGATCCCATGAGCATGCTTGTCAGTATGTTTCCCACCTCTTCCTTATCGTCCCTCTTCCTCTCCATCCTCTCCTACTCCTCTTGCACCCCCTGCTCTTCTTTTCCTCCCCCTGCTCATCCCCATTATCGTACTCCTCCTGCTCATCCTCCTGGTCCTCATCCGCCTTGTCATCCTCCTCCTCCTCCTCCTCCTCCTCCTCCTCCTCCTCCTCCTCCTCCTCCTCCTCCTCCTCCTCCTCCTCCTCCTCCTCTTCGCTTCCCTCCTGGATAATTCGCGACTTGGTAAGAGCGACGATGCACGCCGTTTGAAGAACGCGGCTCGACGGACGTCGCCTGTGACGAGCTGGTTTCCTCTCCGATCTTCTTTCTCGTGCCACTCCGCCCCAGACGCAGGTAGGTTTAAGGACGCAGGTTTTGAACGTTCATGCCCCTTTCGGGAGACCTCCTGGGACGCTCTCGTCGTCGCGGCTGGATCAGCTTCGAAACTTTGTCCAGAACGCACCCCTGGACAGGCCAGGGCAGCACGCTGCTGACAGGCAGGGCCAGGCGCCCTGGCGGCTCGGGACAAAAATCGCCCCGCGGCGTCTCGCCACTGGTGGCGCGTGCCCTCTGAACACGACTCGGGAGGGGGAACCAGTCCCGGGGAAGGGGTCGGCAGCTCCAGGGGCCGGCGACTCGAAAAGAGCGATCGTCGGCGCCGCATTCTCTCTCGATTCATTAGTTGTCGCACTCGCCTTCCATGACACAGTGGTGTGGCTCGATCGTAGAGAGGCGAAGGCCCTCGCGTGTTCGTCGTTATTCGGTCGAACCTTTGACAGTACGGTTATCTGCCATAAGTTGGCCCACGGCCATTGACAGTTGCCGTCGCTTCAGCTAGCCATTCGAATCTCTCCTCTTGTGCCCTTGTCGTACGCTCTCTGGCGAATTCCGTCGTCGTTGGTGTTGCTCGTGGCCGCGAAAATTCTCCACGCGCGTTCGCCTGTGTTTGTCGTTCTGGGGCGCAGGCCGCCGCTTCAGCGCAAAACGGAGCCGCTGGCCAGAAAAGGACCGCGAAGTGATGGGACCACGAGGGCAGCGGAGGCGGAGCGGACGAAAGATGGGAGGGCAGGAACGAGAGGGCGGGGAGCATCGCGGGGCATGAGACTGCGATGGAGGGGGACGGGAAGTGGGAAAAAGGAGTGAGAGACAGAGGGCATGGAAGGGAGCGAGGGACGGGGGGAGAGATTACAGCCGCAGCTGACACCCGTACTCGCACCGACTTTCCAGAGCGGAGCGGCCTACAGGCGAGTCCCATTGCGGACTCGCTGGTATCGTGTGGGAAGTGGTTACGGTCGCGCGGCCCTTTAAAGCACTTGGGCAATTCATTCTCCATCGACGAAAGCACTCTTAGCATTTACGCGTTGCATGGGGGGAGACTTCAAGTATTGAGTTGTACGGACGTTTTTGTTCGCAGAACAGCTTAGCACGCCGAAGTCCCCCTTCACGTTTCGCCAGGAGCGACCGTTGCACCCAGCGTGAAAGTTTGAGATGCTCGTGACCACAAATGCAATCATACTTCTGTGGAGGTCCGATCCTTCGCCAACGAGGCCCTTCAGAGTGTCCCTTTGAAGCAGCAGGGCCCTTCAGGTTTAGCCCCCCGCAGTAGCACCGGTCCCATTCCAGCAACACGCGCACTCCATTTACGCACTGGAGAAGCACTTAAACCACAGTCTGATCTAGTGGCGGGTCGGCTGGCTGGGGTGGTTAGGCTTCGCCGGTGGGCTGGCCAGGGTATGTGTTGTCGACGGCGACTCGGCGCCCCCCTGGCCGACCCTAGTGTAAACAGTGGGCTTGCGAAAATTGACAGTCTCACGGCAGGGAGCCTTTCCGTCGAGAGCGTGGACGCGAGGAACGCGGAAGACCAACGACAGTGCAAAAACCAGAGGGCCCCGACCGTGCCCATTGTAGCGGCACGTGGTGTCTGACTGAGGTGGTTTGGCCTTTTCCGCCGTCCCGCCACGCCTAGGGGATGCGATTGTCTTGCGCCTCCGTCGGCAACAGACGCGTTTCCCCCCCCTCGGGTGAGACGCGGGGCAGGCGGCGGTGCTAGGTGGATTGGCAGTTAACCCTCGTTGGCTGGTTTGGTTGGTTCAGCCAGTTGCTGGGCGGGCCAGGGTAGTTGGTGTAGACAGCGACCCGGGGCAACCGGCCGTTCTCTGCGTGGACAGTGGGAGCCTGAAAAACTACATCAACAGGGTTGGGAACCTTTCCGTGGAGTGTGGGACGCGGCGAAGGTAGAAGGCAGACTTCGTGGAGTTTGAGGGCCCCGACCGTGCCTGGTGGCACGGCCCTCAGGGGCCACTCCCGCAACTGATCGTGGCGTCTTGGCCGACTCTGCCGTCCCATCGGGTCTGTGGAGGGCCACCCAGGATTTGATGACATTTCTATTACCCGCAAGAGGCACCGTGGTTGATAATATGCATGTGCGTTTGTGTATGGGCATACGTATGCGTATGGTCGCGCGTATGTACAAATGTATGTGCTACAGCACGCATCCGTCTACGAATGCAGCAAGGAAAAACGTGGCACGGAATGGCGGTGGCATGACATGGCTCAGGCTTGGGCATCGCGCGGGATCAGTAGCAGAGTAGTCTGCGGCAACGCATCATTGAGGTCATTTCTTAATGAGTTGAACGTTGTTTAGCTTGAGGGATGTTTAAGCCAAGTTTCATGCCTCGACAAGTCGAAAACGCAGTGACAGCGCAAGCATGAAGAGTTGGCGCGCTGGCTGCAATAATTGGGGGTAGCCGCATGCTCGAGTGGAGGAAGTCAGTCACCAGGCAAGACGAATGGTAAGTTTAGAGAGAGAAGGGTCACTCGGTGAGCTCAGCGCCGACACAATGGCTCGGATGCCGACAGCGGCTGTCATGAATTGGTACTGTTAGTTCGTCCTTTTTGGGTGACCTGGGCAGATTCAAGCTATTGATGCTCACTTCCATGTCTTGATGTGTTCGAAGCAGCGGAGGGGCCATCGTTCAAGTCTTCTTCTCCTTTTCGCCACGCTTTCAACTCGACCTGGACTTTGGTTTCATCCCCCTCCGATCACCCGAGTCATCTTCTTCCATGTCGATATGTTGCCGTTTTTTGTCAAAGACGACTTGAGCGATGAACCATGCGTGCGATGCACGAACCTTATTTCTTCAGAAATATGTGAACACGCAATTTCAAGATCTGGGATGCTTTGCGCCGAGGTACCTTCAGCCCATGCCTCGCTCGCTTTGAAACTGCACCATCACATGATGTCGATATACCGTTGGGGATACATCCGCCAGCGGAGCCGTCCCCGATGGAATGCCGCCCGTTCCCGCTGCCCCCTTCCATTAACTTCCGCCGACGAAGATTCTTCGGAGGGAAGGTCTTGTCCTGAGCGCTATAAACAGCACGTTTTTGAGCACGCCTAGAATCACAAACCGTTCGAGGGGCACGAGGGCATGACTGCCTTGAGCCGAGACGGCATGAGTCAAGACGGACCTGGCGCGTCCGCAGGCGGCTCTGGAGACTAGACGAGATGCCGTTCAGGAGTGAGAGAGGGGGGGTGCGGGAGGAGGACGAGAAGAGGAAGGGAGGAGAACGAGAAGAGGAAGAGAAGGGGGAGGAGGAGGAGGAGGAGGAGGAGGAGGAGGAGGAGGAGAAGAAGAAGAAGAAGGAGGAGGACGAGAGGAGAGAAGGGGAAGAGTTTCCACAATCCTCCGCCTCGCTGGTTTTTAGGGGGCGTGGGGCTTTAAGAGAGATGGGCTTCGACCACGAGGAGGAGGAGGAGGAGGAGGAGGAGGAGGAGGAGACGGAGAAGGAGGGGGAAGGAAGAGGAGGAGGAGGAGGAGGAGCAAAACTCAGCTGTACCGTTTATGCCCGCTGAACGCAAACAAGAAGAGGACCAAACGTAGAAAGAGCAGGACACGGCGTTGGCGGTGGCGGCCGCGCGCCCCCACTCAGCAGGACAGCACCGGCGGCATTGGCACATGACGCTTTCGCCCCTTGGGAGAGGGGGAAATGTGAAAAGGTAAGAACGAAAGGTGGCAAGCTTGGTGCGCTCGCGCCATATTCGGCACCCTACACATCCCACCCATTCATTCCCTTCCCATCGCGCTGTGTCCTTCTCAGTTTACCAATGCGTGTCATAGTGGACCCGGATTTCCACAGAGGATAGTTTGAGCCTCAATTGCAAAGGAAATGCGACCAGCGCCGAGGCGAGAGCGCCAGGGCGGATATAGGAGCTCAACATGGATATTTTCTGCGGAAATATTCAACAAGCATGATACCCGCATGCACCTTACTTTAAAATGCCAAATCCATCCATCATGATGTCACACCCCCTTTTTTAGAAATTGCATGAAAGGGCCGATATTCCCACACCCAGATCTCCCGCCCAGAGAAGTCGAGCCGATACCTCTACCGAGAAACCTTCCCGGCCGCTGTGGTGCCCGTGGGCTTTCTGAACGTTCATTGCGTTCGGGTGGGAGAGCGCGCCGTTGCTGACGGGGCAACGTAGGCGGGCACGCGGCGGCCTGGAGGGGCGGCGCGATGGGCAGGGCGGGGCGGGGAACAGCTCTTTGAGCACCCTACAGCCTCGCCTCCAAGCCAGGGGCAGCCACGCGACCGCTCCATGCGGTGGAGTGGCGACCAGGTGTTCGAGAGCCAGGACATGGAGGGCCGCGGGGACCAGCAAGTGGACCTCGCACCCGACCCGCTGCCGCAGGATGTGATGGTCGTTGTGGACCAGGAACTACGTGAGGCTCTCGGAGTGTGGTCGGTGCTCTGGATTCAGAACCTGCGGGGGGGAGGAGTTTTTGGACCTCGACGGCTGGCTGAAGTGGTGTGCGCCCACGGTGGAGGTCCATCTGGCGGAGCCGACGCGTCGACCTCCGCGGAAAAATCTGCAGAGGCGATACGGTGCACAGGGCGGCGCACATTTGGCGGTGAGGCAGGTGGCGATGCAGTTGTGCTACAGCTTTTGGGCGCGGGCAGCATGGAGGCGCCGTGCTTGGTTCAGGCAGCTCAACGACCATGGCGAGGTGGCGCGCAGGCGCATGGTGGAGCTCCAGTGGACGGAGACCCGCTCCTTGAAGCGTCGCCTCAAGAGGCTGCTGGGGGCCGCTGAGCCCGAGACCGCAGGGGATGATGAGCCTGGACCAGGCCCACCTGCGCACGACGGGGCGCAAGACGGCGCGGGGGACGCGGCGAGCCTCCTGAGGTACATCGACCGAGCGTGCGGCCTCCAGTGCGCCCCAGGGGCTATGGCCAGCGGGCGCCAAAGGGGCAGTTGCGCGCAGGTGGTTTTGCGAAAGCAGTTGCAGGACACTTGAAAGAGGCAGCAGGTGATGGCGGGCATGCATCAGCAGTGGCGTCGTGTAAAGGGGCCAGCAGGTGCGGTCATCGTGCCCCTGCGAAGGGCGGAATGGGCTTGGCCAAATTGGCATACCTTCATCACGCGCAAGGGCGAGATGGCGGACATGACCGCGGCGTGCCCTGCCGACGCGGCAGCCCTGTTGCGCATCGATGCGCAGGCGGTCTCGCGGCAGCGTTGGACGGAGCAGGGGGGCGCCAGACGCTGGCGCCCGCCCTCTTGTCACAGCCTGCCGCGGCGCAGATGGCGTCGAGGGGTCCCCCAAAGCACGCCAAGAATGCGGCGCGCAAGGTGGCGTTGTGCGGCTCGCGGGCGACGAAGCAAGCTATCAGAGTGCAACATCACGCCCACGGAGACCTGCTTGGGCCGTGGTGAAGCAGTGGGCACGCCGCACAACTGGCATTTCCAGTGTCCACGCATGCGAGAGGCGCGGTTCCGCGGGCAACCCCAGCGGCAGCGCTCGGCGGAGCAGCAGGTCGATGATTTGTTGTGGACACGCGGGTTGGCGCGCGACCCCGTTGCAGATTGGCGTTTTCAGGCGGCCAAGGAGGGCCAGCACCACTTCGACGTCATCGAGGGTGACGACGACCTCCTGACGGGCGACATCGCCTGTGATGGGTCGAAGCTCGGCACCACTTGCCAGGCCCATGCGGGTTGGGCGACCATAGCCACTACGGAGGAAGGCCAGCCGCGCGTGCAATTGCGGGTGCCGCTACCGCGTCAACACCATGCCCGAAAGATGGCGAAGCGGGTCAAGCTCTGGGCCTTCTTGAAGACGCCTGAGGCGGTGCTGCCGCCGTGCAGGATCGATACGGATCACTTGGCATAAGTTGGTGGACATAGGCCTGGACATCGACTGCGCGCAGCACGTCAAGGCGCACCGTTCCAAGAAGGCCATCGGCCAGCTGGAGGGCCTGGAGAGGCAGGCCACGCAGGGCAACGAGGCGGTGGGCCTGCTGGCAAAGAGGGGCGCCGACGAGGACTATGGCCACGGCAAGCAGGAGGCCTCGACGGACATGGGGGCGCGCGCGAGCTGGGCGGCGCAGAACTCGCGCTGGCGGCACTAGGAGATGGAAGGCGAGTGGCCCGACGCCCCCCCCCCGTCCACCAGGCCAGCGGCGGCGCTGCATTCCCACGCCCCAGGCCAGCCTAACCTTGCACGAGGCGGAGCAAAGGGGGCGCTGGCAGGTGCGCGAACCCTGCGGCAAGACAGCGGCCGCGGCGCGCACGCGCAAGAAGCTGCGGGAAGCAGCGCGCTGGCCGCCGCCATCCCGCTTCGCGGGCCCGGCAGTGCCCGACGACAAGATCGGCTCGCTGGAGCCGCGGGTGAGCCAGGCGCGCTGCGAGGTGCAACAGGCCGCCAGGTCTACGGCCACGAGAAGCACATCGTCGACAGGCGCGACGATGCGATGGCCACGGCTGAGGCAGCAGCAGTTGCCCGAGCGGGCGGCGAGAGGACAGGAGCCGCTCGCCTAGGGAGGGCGACCGCGGGGCGAACACCACGCCCGCGCCGGCTGCGCCGCCCCCAGAGGAGCAGGACGAGAGGCGGCAGCACATGGCGCAGGTCTGCGGCCCGCGCGCGGTCTGCCGAGCGCGCGGGGCCCACGCGGCGCAGCGGCGGGATGGGCTCGGCAAGGCGCGCGCGGGCCCACTCCCGCCGAGAGGCGTCAGCTCGGGGGCAGACTCGAAGCGCGAGAGGAGGGGGCGCCTTCTGCGTGGGCAGCACCCGCAGACGGAGAAACCGCTCCCGACGCTGCTGGAGCCAGTCCAGCGCGGGCGTGCACGTCGCGGATAAGGTCGGCGAGGCGACGGCCGACGTGAGGGTGTTCTGCCAGCAGAGCGACGCGGGCTGACCACCGCGCAGCCTGCGCGGCGGGGGGGGCCCTGGTGGTACCCGTCGGAGTCTCTGAGGGGGCAAGAAACAGGTTCTTGGGGCCTCCAGTGGGTATCTCTGCGCCTAGAGCTCGAACTGTCGTTCGGGCCCCCCGTCTGGGCCCGCTCTTGGAGCCGTCTTGGGAGCCTCTTCGGCCATCTTGGAGGCCTCTGGGGCTGTCTTTGGGGCCCTCCGGGGCCGCGCTGGGGCGACCCTGGATGCCTCTCGGGCCGTCCCGGAGCGCCGGTAAGCCGAAGAGGCGAGAACGCCAAAATTCTTCATAAATTTGCGAAAATCATTAATTCTAGCATATGTTGGAGGCCTCTTGGGGCGTCTTGAAGGCGCCTGCGGCTGTCTGGAGGCCATCTCTGGCGTCTTGGATAGCAGTTAGACCGTCTCGGACCATGTTGAGATCTCTTGGAGGCAATGTGAAGCACTCCTGGAAGACTGCTGGGACCTGGCCAGGACCTCGCCGGGGCCCAGCCGGGACCTGCCCGGGACCTTGCCGATGTGTTTTGCGCCCGAGGACCCCCAGGGGCGGCCCCGCGCGCGCGAATCAGAAATATTGTTAACCAGTTACCAGAGATCTTAGCACGCCCTAGGCCCGTTGGGCCGGCGTTCTTGCTGTGCTATATATATATATATATATATATATATATATATATATATATATATATATATATATATATATAAAAAAAAAAAAAAAAAAAAAAAAAAAAAAAAAAAAAAAAAAAAAAAAAAAAAAAAAAAAAAAAAAAAAAAGCAGCAACAACAACAACAATCAGTTTAACATTGTTCGCTTTTACTGGCACGCGTGTCTTGCATTCCGTATACCCCAACCCTCGATACCCGCGTTCGATTGCACCCGTTTTCGAGGGGAGTCTCTTCCTTGTCGGCCACTGACTGAAGTGCGAAGAAGTCTCGAGCGTCAGCGCCGTTCCTGAGTTCAGGGGCCTCTCTGGCCAGGGGCTCTCGGAATACCTATGGGGGAAATATCGAACAGGAGCCCTTGTCGCCGTGTCCGGACCTCCACCAACTTGTTTGAATTACGGGAATGTCTCGAACGAGAGCGCCGTTCTTGAGTTCGGAGGCCTTCTTGGCCAGGGGCGGCCCTCGGAGTAAATCGTCAGGAAGTATCGAGCAGGAGCCTTCGTCGTCGTGGCTGGGCCTCCGCCAACTTAATTGAGTTGCGAGGAAATCTCGAGCGAGAGCGCCGTTCCTGACTTCGGGGGCCTCTCTTGCCATGGTGTCTCGGGGTAAATTGTGAGGAAGTATCGAACGGGAGCCGTTGCTGTCTTAGCTGGGCCTCCAAGGGCCCACATGTAGGTTCAAGCCAACGCTCGAGCGGGAGCCTCGCGTTCAGAGAAAATGCAGCGGGCGTCGAGGCGAGAGCGCGCGGAACCGTTTCCGGAGAACAACAGTAATTATTCGTTCGAAATGAGCATTCAACCACAACAACTACAATAACAGCAGCAACAACAACAACAACAACAACAATCACAACAACAGCAGCAACAACAACAGCAATAGCAACAGTAAGAGCAGCAGTAACAGCAGCAGCCGCAACAAACACAACCACAGCCACAACCACAACCACAATTACAAACACCACAACAACAACAACCACAACAACAACAACCAACAACATCAACAACAACAATGATTTTAAGACTGGTCGCCCTTGCATGCTGCCTGCTCGCGTGCCATTCAACACGTATAGCCCAGACCCTCGATACCCGCCCGGTTTGTTTTCGATCGTAACCCTTTTGGGGGCATATTTTCCTTGCCTGTTGCGCGGAATTGGCGCAGCCCTTCGAACAGGGGAAGAGAGGACGGATGGAAAGGGAAGGGAGAAGGATGGGGCACGAGATTAGCAAGAGGGGGGCTAGGAGCAGAAAACGCGTGGCAAAACAAGACGGGCTGATCGGGCGGCCAAACCCTACCAGGCGGGTCGGGGGGGGCGGGCCCAGGCGGCCTGGTCGATCAGGCGGGTTGTTGAAGCGTGAGTGTCACATGAATCGCGAGAAGGTTTCGAGCGATAGTGCGACTCCCAAGTGAATGGTGAAAAGCCAAAGCGAGAGCGCGATTCTTGAGCGTCGAGGGCGCGGCGTTCGAAGAGGGTCAGAGGAGGCCCCACGCGAGAGCGCGATTCTTGCATGAATTGTGAGAGTCCCGCGCGACAGCGCGATTGCTCAATAATTTGTGATGATATATCAGGCGGGAGCCGTTGTTGTTATAGTTCGGGGGCCAACAACCTATTTAAGTGGCACCACCATGTCCCTGATGAAAAGAGGGTGCCAGCCCCGGGAGGGGCACATCAATTGAAAAATGCAATGGCTACCAGAGAGGGGGATCAACCATAGTTATTCTTCAGAAACGAGAGTTCAACAATAACAAAAAACAACAAAAACAACATCAACAACGACAACAACTGCAGCAGCAGTAGCAACAGCAACAACAGCAACAACAACAACATCAACATCAACATCAACAAAAACAACAGCAGTAGCAGCAACAACAACAGCGACAACAGCAACAACAGCAACAGCAACAACAACAACATCATCAACAACACCAATCATTTTCAAACTGTTCGTTCTTACTGGCACGCGTGTCTTGCATTCCGTATACCCCAACCCCCGATACCCGCCCACTTCGTCTTCGATTGCACCCCTTTTCAAGGGGAATCTCTTCCTTGTCGGCCACCGACTGAAGTGCGAAGAATTCTCGAGCGTCAGCGCCGTTCCTGAGTTCAGGGGCCTCTCTGGCCAGGGGCTCTCGGAATACCTACGAGTAAATATCGAGCAGGAGTCCTTGTCGCCCTGTCCGGACTTCCACCAGCTTGCTTGAATTACAGGAAAATCTCGAGCCAGAGCGCCGTTCCTGAGTTCGGGGGCCTTCTTGGCCAGGGGGGGCCCTCGGAGTAAATCGTCGGGAAGTATCGAGCAGGAGCCTTCGTCGTCGTGGCTGGGCCTCCGCCAACTTAATTGAGTTGCGAGGAAATCTCGAGCGAAAGCGCCGTTCCTGAGTTCGGGGGCCTCTCTGGCCATGGTGTCTCGGGGTAAATTGTGAGGAAGTATCGAAAGGGAGCCGTTGCTGTCTTAGCTGGGCCTCCAAGGGCCCACATGTAGGTTCAAGCCAACGCTCGAGCGGGAGCCTCGTTTTCAGAGAAAATGCAGCTGGCGTCGAGGCGAGAGCGCGCGGAACCGTTTCTGGAGATCAACAATAATCTTTCAGAAACGAGTATTCAACAACGAACAAGCACCCCGTAATTGTAAATCGTCCTCGAAGTTCGATCCCCCGACCCTCGGGCGGAGGCGACGCCGCCAGCCGCCAGCCTGCAGCGGCGGATGGCAGACGAGTGCCCATGGAGCGGCATGGACGACGGCGAGGACGCACCCGCGGGCTTCGCGGAGTGGGCGGCCTCGTCCCGGGCGCCCGCGCCCGCCGCGGCAGGCCGCGAGGTCGGCGCGCCGCCCCTCGGCGGCCGCTCGGCGGCCCTCTCGGCGGCCTTTTCGGCGGCCCTTTCGGCAGACTTCGGCGGCCCCTCGGCGGCACTTCGGCGGCCCGTCGGCTGCCTCTTCGGCAGCCCTTCTGGCCGCCTTCGGCGGCCCAGCGGCGGCGGCCGTCGGCTGAGGTCGGCGGCCTTCCGGTCGCGGGGGGCTCGCCTTGCGCGGCCGCTGGCCCAGAACCTCTAGTGCCGTGGCGGTTGCGATGCGGGCCCTGGTTCCGCGATCGCGGCCCTCAGCTTGGCATCGTTCGGACGTGTGAGTTTTTTCCTCGGCGAGGACCATCGAGGAGCATCTTGGATCATCTGGCAAAAAAGCACGCACGGAAGCGAAAAATGCACGGGGAATGGACGTTCGAGCGATGGCGAGTCAGAGGTCTGTTTCTCGGCCTTGCGGCCATCGGAAAAAAACGATTCGCGATGGAGAGCTGGTCGGCGGGGCGGAAGAGGGGGTTGCGCGAGGGGGGCTGCCCTCTAAGGAGGCGGGGGGGGGGCTTCCAGTGAGGCAGGTCGCGTTTTTTGAAGCTCTCCCAGATTCGAAGAAGCCTTCCCAGAAGCATCGAGGCTTCTAAGAAGTCCCCCACCTTCTAAGAAGCCCCCCGCCTTCCTCGAAGGCCATCCCCTTGCACGCGCCGCCAAACTGGGGTCGAGTTGCGAGAATGCTAGTTTTTGAACGGATTGGACCTTTGGGGGGCCTCTTAGGCTCCCTCATCGCCACGAGTGGATCCGCCAAACGTCGCGGAAAAAACACGGTGCGGAGGTCCAGTCGAAGAATCCGGACGATTCGAGAAGGTCACGGCGCAGGTGTTATGCCATATTCGGTGCCCAGAAGTTGCGAAAGCAAAGCCTTTGCCATGATGAAAGCAAACAGGCTACGCCGTTCCTCCCATGGCTTCCCTTCCTCCAAGCCCCCCTCTGTTCACCACGCCTTGCCATACCGTCTTCACCCTCTCGCCTTCCTCCCATCCCCGCGTGCACGGCGTCGAGGCTTCATGAAGAGAGCCTTGAATCCCGATGACAGCGCGTTAGCCTACGGTATGTTGATTCCGTTGGCACACTCAGACGTGAGTCAACCTCGTATGCGAGAATGCCAAGCCAGGAGAACTTTGACACCGATGTTGGGTCCATAGATGCAGGTGTACACTTGTTTTCCGCGCAACAGCACAAGGAACGCCTTTGGCATGCAAGGGTTCCAGTGCCCCTAAGGAGTCCCAGTCTGAACAAAATTGGTTGATCTTTACACTTGAAGTGATAACTAGTGACTGGGCTGAACCCACTCTCCGTCCCCCTCTCGTTTTCTCCTTCTCTCTCTCTCTCGCACTCTCTCTCTCTCTCTCTCTCTCTCTCTCTCTCTCTCTCTATATATATATATGTACACACATACATATAGACATACATACATACATACAAACAAACATACATATTCCCCCCAGACACCCACCCCAAAACCAGACCCCCCCCCCTGGGAACGCCCCGGACGCCCTTTTGGACGTCTCGGCCCCTTGGACGTCCTTGGAAAAGGTCCGCTGGCCCTTCTGGGCCTCCGAGGGCGCTTTGCCGGGCCTTGCGAGCAGAATCTAGGCGATCAGAGGGGTCAACGGAAAGGCGCAAGAGAGACCCAAGACAGCACAAGAGCGCTCCGGGAGGAACCTCGATGATTTGAAAACGGCCCAGGAGGCCCCCAAGACGCCCCAAGAGGCCGTTAAGAGAGCCCCGAATACGCAAAAGACAACCCATTCTGGGAATATGTAAGTTTTTATCGCATATCCATTTTGGGGGTCTTTGCAGCGTCCTAAACGGACCGATGGACCCCCGATCTCGCCCCAAGACGGCCAAAGAGGCCCCCCAGAGGGTTTGAAGACGGCCCAAGAGGGCCCCAAGACTGCCCCAGAGAGCCCCGAGACTGCCCACAAGAAGCCCAAGATGCCCCCAGAAGGCTCCCAAGAGAGACCCAGGAAAGCCATGGGAGACCCCCAAGAAGACCATCGGAGGCCCCCGAGAGGGCCCTAGATAGTTTCAGAAGACTTCTGAAAGGCCCCAGCTCCTAAGACGGCCCAGGACGGCCCAAGAGGGCCCCAGGACGGCCCAAAAGAGCCCCAAAAACGCCCAGACGGCGCTCTCCTACGAATTACATAGAGCTGACCCGACGGTCTTGATTCCACGCTTGAGGCTCGAGATCTAAATTCCTCGATCGAGAGAGACAGGCACTGGATCTAGATTCAAAGTTCGACGATGGAAGAATTCCTGAGTGCCTGGGGCCTTCTAGGCATTCAGGAAGCGACCACAAATCGAATTGCTCGGAGCTGCTGCGACTTCTTCGGCGTGTCATGGAAAAGCTCCTTCCTTCCTCAGAGGACATTCGCGCGTGAAAAAATCATCATTCCTTCCCCGCTCCTGCGCACCAGCGCGCAAGCGCATCGGGCGAACGCAGTGTCAGCATGCACCAGGTATATCAGAAAAATGAGCCAGTCGCCCGTCCAGGCCTCGAGGCCCCCCCTGTTGAAGCAAGCGATGATTCATTGGTTTGCCCGGGAAGCGTCCAGAACAAGGCGCATGGCGCGAAGTGCCAGTTCAGTCTTGTGTATATTGTATGTATGTGTATATATATATATATATACACACATAGCCCCCCGCCCCAGCACCCCCAAACGACGGAGCGGGGGGATGGGGGGGCATCCTCCTCATCATCATTCTCTTCCTCCTCCTGCTCCTCCGCATGGGGGCGCCCCCCTCATCGTCATCTGCGGTGAAAAGGGTCCCCCTGTCAATATAGGGGATATGAAACAATATTCCCCCTGTTTGGAGATACTGAGCTCAATGCCGTCGCTGCCTGAACAACAGTCAGCGGCAAACCCGCCGCAACGCAGAAGCAATCATAAACACTTGCGTTCCCCTTGAGGGAGCTCAGCGCCGCTCGACGTCCCCTGGAGGGGCCCGAAGCGCGACGACGCTCCCCTTGAGGGAGTTCAGCGCCGCCGGGCGCCCCTTGGAAGGGCTCCAAGCGCGACGGCCCTCCCCCTGAGAGAGCTCAGCGCTGCTGGGCGTCACCTGGAGGGGCACCAAGCGCGACGACGCCCCCCTTGAGGGAGCTCATAACCAGCACCAGAGCCAGAACCAGAGCCAGAGCCAGAACCAGAACCAGAACCAGAACCAGAACCAGAGCCAGAGCCAGAACCAGAACCAGAACCAGAACCAGAGCCAGAACCAGAGCCAGCGCCTCTGGGCGTCCCCTGGAGGGGGCCCAAGCACGACGACGCCCCCCTTGAGGGAGCTCAGCGCAGCTGGGCGCCCCCTGGAAAGGCCCGAAGCGCGACGACGCTCTCCCTGAGGGAGCGCAGTTCCGCTGGGCGCCCCCTGGAAGGGCCCCAAGCGCGACGACGCCCCCCTTGAGGGAGCTCATAACCAGAACCAGAACCAGAACCAGAGCCAGAACCAGAACCAGAACCAGAGCCAGAACCAGAGCCAGAACCAGAGCCAGCGCCGCTGGGCGTCCCCTGGAGGTGGCCCAAGCACGACGACGCTCCCTTTGAGGGAGCTCAGCGCCGCTGGGCGTCCCCTGGAAAGGGCCCGAAGCGCGACGACGCTCTCCCTGAGGGAGCGCAGTTCCGCTGGGCGCCCCCTGGAAGGGCTCCAACCGCGACGACGCTCTCCTTGAGGGAGCTCAGCGGTGCTGGGCGACTTAGAATCAGTGGGAATCAACCGCGCCTTCCGGGGTGCAAGGGGCATTTTTTTTTGATGCCCCCGTGGAGACCCATGAGGGGACCCAGCAGGGGGCGCAGCAAAGGGGCCCAGCAGGGGACCCAGGAGGAGACCCAGCCAGGACACCCAGCAAGGGACCCAGCAAAGGGACCCAGAAGGGCGGCGCCGAAGGGCGAGAGAGGGAGAGGGGGCAGGGGGTAGGAGAGAGGCAGAGGAGTAATGATTGTTATGTGCGGGTCCAAGGGAGGAAAATGAGGTAACCCAAATGATGGGTTCCCACCTCCGCCCCCAGAAAACCCATATCTCAGTTGCACTTGATTTATTGCCCAACCAGAAATGTGCATGGACAGCAATCATACCGCATATGCTGGTGCTGCTGCTGGTGCCTCCCGTTGCCGCTAGCGCTCAGGCCTCTGCAGGGTGCTCAGACCCCTTCAAAGTTCTCCACGGTAGGCTTCTACCCATGGCTTTCGAGTACGCTTTCGTGCCGCGCGGCATGCCCGGCCACGTTGGCCACGTCTTGCCGCCCGACGCGGCGTGGCGCAGGGTGCGGCACACGCAGGCTCAGCGCTTGGCTGCTGGCGAGGACTCGAGGGCAGGGGGCAATCCAGTTTGGGGAGGGCCCCACCCCGCCACCGACCATCTCTTGATTCCAGCAATGAGGGAGCACATTTGCTTGTGCCCCAGGATCGGTTCAACGCGCGCGTGTGGCCCGCGAACGTTGAAGCGCGGGACAGCGGCAACCCGTTCTTCGCTCCCGGCTTCCACGGCAACTCGCGGATGTCGAACGATCTCGCTTTCGACTATGTTATCGTCCGCCCGTACATGTACGCCGAGATTGCGGCCACTTGCATCGGCCACGACGATCGCGCGCTCGCCTCGCCAGCCGCGATCGCGAGACCTTGCCCCGTCCGCGGTCTGCCCGATCCATCTGCCGCGGGCAGTTGCAGATCGACGATGACCGTGGCGATCGGACCGATCGATCTGCCGCGGATAGTCGATGGCACATCTGCGATGCTCGACGTCGTCCTTCGGTGGGAACTGAGGATCGCACGTGCATTGCGACGCGCACGCGCCGCGATTTCCCGGGATGGACCCACACGGCGGAGGCGCCGTGGTCGACTGGGGGCGCACGCAGAGGATGGTGATGGCGTCGCTTGCGTTGCCCCGCCACCGCCGTGCGCTGTTCGACGCGGACGGCGACCAGCCGTCCAACCGAACGCGCGTTGGTCCGTCATTCGGCTTGCGCGCTTCGGCGCGCCGCTTCCTCTGAGGCGAGGGCAAGTAGTGCGGGCGCAGCGCGTGCCGCGCACGCTCGCAACATCCTGTGCTATCGTTTTGAGATCACATCGAGCTTGCGCCAGCATGTCCAAGCAAAACGCGCGATCAGCCAGGGCGACCGTTCGTTCCACATGCTCGCAGACGGACGCTGCCCATTCGTCTTTCCCTCGTTTGCGATCGCCCCGACACCCATCCCCCCTCTTCCGCCTCCAATGCAGCGTCCGTTTAGGCTCAAAGTCTAGTCGAAGCGCTCGCCCGCGACCTCGTTTGGCCCTTGCCCCACTCGCCCCCCCCCCCCCCCGCTTCAGATTGCAGAATGCTGCGGCGCTTTCTGGCTCAAGTGACCTCCGCCGCCACCGCCTGCGCCCTGCGGCTGCGCAGCCGCTGCGGGCGGCGACGTTCAACTTCCCTTTGCCCGAGAGGGGGGGGCGCAGGGCGGCCAGCCAGAGTCGGTCGGTGAAGAAGGTGAAGAAGGCTATGAAGAAGGCCGCAGACAGCCCTCCCAAGCGTATACCCTACGCGAGGCACGGGATCCGCACTGTAAAATCTCGGAACGAGAGGGTGAGGTGGTGCGCGGAGCTGTCCGACTTCATGAACAGGGGGCAGAAGCACGTCATCGACGTGCTCAAGAAGCACGGCCATTTGCCAGAGTGACTGAACCGAGCGCAGCAGCATCTGCTGCACCTGATGCGCACGCCGATGCGCAGCCCTTTTGCTTGCCACATATGACCCGTGAAACTTATCTCTGGAATGCTGCCCGCGCTGCGAGGCGCTGGGCAAACGTGCCGGGAGTGCCCGAGCGAGATGTGCGCGGATACGCATATTGTGTTTGATCTGTCGTGACGTTACGATGTTGCACAAAAGGCAACACTTGCATTCACCCATGCTGTTGTTTGGAATAGAAAGGGAAGAGTGGGGAATGTCTTCGGCGCACCCCTCAAACGTTCCGTGGCCACGCAGATGAGCCTCTACCGAAGGGCCCAAGTCAATCTCGGCACACCCTCACACGGTTCGGCCTCCGCTCATTCGCATCACTCCTGCATCCTCTCACATTCCTCCTCCCTTAGCGTAAAGGGACTGAACACGCTGTGTTTGTCAGGTGTTTTCTGGTTTTTCGTGTTTTTCTGATTCCTGGGAGAGACTGGCCAACTTGCGTAGTCTCTGCCAGAAATCCGAAAAACCTGGAGAAAAAACAAAAACAACAAAAATGCCCCCCCCCCCAAAAAAAAAAAAAAACGGGCCCCTTCGTTCTGAGACGCGACCCCTCCCCCAACGAGCCCAAGAGAGTCGCTTTCAGTTTCTAAGAAGGAGGAGGGCGGGATAACGAGGAGGGGACGGAGAAGGATGAGGATAACACGATCAGTTGGCGCTTCATTTGCCCCGGGGTGGTTCGGGGGTGCTGGGGCGGGGGGGCGGGGATATACATACATACATATGTGTATAGAGAGATCTGTATATACGTATGTATATATATGCATATATAGGGGAGGGGGGCGAGTAAACGGGCGGCCCGCAGCAGCCCGAGCGCGACGCCAGAATTTTAGGAGGAGGCGGAGGAGGAGAGGAAAGGAAAAGGAAGGGGGGGGGGGGGGGGGGGGGGGGAGAAGGAGGAGGAGGAGGATCGGCGGTTCAAAGATGGGGCCATGAGAGATGGGGCCCGAAGGATAGGAAAGGTTCCAAGGGTGAACGTACGTTGTTTAAGGAACCTCGCCCTCAGGACCCCATCCTTCATGACCTCATCTCTCAGCCACCGAGAGGAAACGGACTGCGCGCAAGGGCGGCCGGGCGGAGGGGGCGGGAGCGAGCGGGGGTGGGCGGGGCGGGCGCGGATGTCGCAGGAGTGGTAGTCGAGGCAGCAGTCGTGGAGGTCGTTGTCGTCGCTTTCTCTTTCTTTTTTGTTTCCTCTCTCTCTCTCTCTTTCTCTCTCTCTCTCTCTCTCTCTCTCTCTCTCTCTCTCTCTCTCTCTCTCTCTCTCTCTCTCTCTCTCTCTCTCTCTCTCTCTCTCTCTTCTCTCTCTCTCTCTCTCTCTCTCTCTCTCTCTCTCTCTCTCTCTCTCTCTCTCTCTCTCTCTCTCTCTCTCTCTCTCTCTCTCTCTCTCTCTTTCGCTCTTTCTCTCTCTCTCTCTCTCTCTCTCTCTCTCTCTCTCTCTTTCGTTATTTCTCTCTCTGTCCCTCGTGTCGCTGCTGTTGTTTATCCCTCTCCCCCCCTCTCTCCTTACGCCACGTCTGCATTCCCACCTTCCGCCCTTTTCCTTCCCCTCCTCCTCCATTTCCTTATCACGTTCCGCCTCCTCTCGCTGCTCGCGCTCCACACCGCCATCTTTCTTTTCTCCCTTGCTCGGGATCTGGTATGCACGGCGCGCAGGCGCGCATTGTGTGCTATGCGCATGCTCCTCCTTCTCCTCCTCCTCCCCCTCCTCCTCGTCCTCCTCCTCTTCGGACGGGTCCGTCGCCATTTTGGCTCAAGCCCTTCTGGCCCGAGTCGGGTCTGCAGGGGTAGAAACACTGGGAAGGGTTATTTCCCTCCTGCGAGCCTAGCCTTGGTTTCTGGGCTTCCTGGGTGGCGCCCCCAGGGCCCCTGGATTATAAACGGTTACTGCGGCCCGGTCGGCCTTCCATCCGTCACGGCGCCGCCGCGTCGCGCCGCCTCGCTGCTGACCCCTGGCGCTGCAAGAACTGCGCCACGAGGGGCGGCACGCCGTGGATCAACCGTGGCGGCCTCACGGAGTGCTCCTAATGCAACCTACATAAAAGAGTCTGCTACGGTGGCCCCAAAACGCCCAAGGGGAGTCCTGCGACCAAGTCCACGGGCTCACCTAAGGCATCTAAGGATCAGTCCGACACCGCCCCCATGGCCAAGCAGTTTGCCGACCTCCAGGCCAGGGTCAAGAAGCTTACGGTCGCCAAGTCGCCTCCTCCTTGGGCTGCTGCTGCTGGGGGGAGTGCTTCTGCCGCTGGAGCGGGCGTCGGCTTGGACAGTGGGCACCCCCATGGGGCTCCCACTGGCAACTACGGAGGCACCGCTGACCCGTCAGAGAAGCAAGTCAAGCGTGACCGCATCAAGAAGATCAATGAGCTTCTTAAGGTCTACGATGGATCCTCCGTGGCCTCTGACTTGGCGCAGGTCAAGTCCCTCACCGAAGAGAAGGAGCGTTTGGGCAAGGAGCTCGACGCCGAGCGCCCCTTGGAGGATCAGGTCGCCTCCCTCACCACGAGGCTGCGGAACTCCCGTGCCAAGGCCAAGCGCCTTGGCGAGGAGCACGTTCAGAAGCAGCTGGTCATCGACGAGCCGGTTGCCAAGCAGACGGTGCTCCAGGATTCCCTGGCCGTGGCACATGCCGAAGTCGCGCGGCTGGAGGAGGAGGTCCAGCGTTTGGGCGCCGACCGAGCCCCCTCGCCCACGGCTGGAAAGCCTACGCTCCATGAGCTGCTGCCGAAGGTCTCGGTCAACGTCCCGCAGCTTGGCGAGTTGGCCGTGGAGCTCGGCCTGGACCCCAGCCTTCTGGCACAGCTGGAGACGGCGGCCAAAGTCTTCGGGGGGCTCCATGAGCTTCCCCAGGCGAAGCCGCCGGCGGCACAGGCGCCCGCTGCTGCCCCTGCTCCCGCGACCCCTGCTGGAGATGAAGGAGGAGGGGCCCCTTCCACCCCCGTTCCCTCCGCGAGCCAGGCGCAGGCCCTCGCTGAGGAAGCCGCCAGAGACGACATGGAGATCGACATCGACCTCATGGAGTCCGCCGAGCTGCGGGAGGCGTTGGAGGCGGCAGGCCTCATGCAGCCAGACGATGCCACCGACGCGGACATGCGGGCGGCGCACAAGCGTGTCCTTGACCCCTTTACGCACGCGGCTACGGCGCACAAGAGGAAGAGGAAGGCTCGATCAGCCCCTCTTCTGAGGGCAGCGCTTGCCGGCGCGACCACACGGCTGGCACGTGCCATGCACAGGCCATTAGTTGCGAGTGCAATGCGCCAGCCTGTCATGACGGGCTGCGCGGCCATCAAGCTGACAGAAAGTCCCATGGACGGAATGTCAGTTGTGGCCCCCCGCGCACTGACAGCACGTACCATGCACAGGCTGTCGGCTGGGGTTTCCCCGGCAGGAAGTACCACGCACGGAATGCCAGTGTTTACGTGGGGCGCCCACAGGGCAGCACGTACTATGCACGCGCTGCTGCCAGGGTGGGCCCTGGCTTCACGGGCCCGCCTCACTTGGCGAAGAGCACAGCACGTCTCCCACCAGATTTGATGCCGTAGGAGGTAATGGCAGAGAGGAGGCGACGTAGGAACCATCATACACAAACCCCTTCGACAGCTTTGAAGGGGCAGGGGGGCCGACCCTGGAACAACAGACCCCGGCAACGGCATGTTGTTCCAGGGTCGGCGCCACCAGAGGCCACTACTACTCCAGGCCTTCGCCGTCGACTTGTACGTCAGCCCACTCGTCCTCACCGTGCGCGGCGCGCCCGCGAGGATGGACCTTCATGCTGCTATGGCGCCTGCTCATGACCCAGCTTGAGGCGGGTTCTGCAGGAGCCCCCGACAGCGGTGGGAAGACCACGTCGGTGGCTGACCAGTCCGCGGGCTTACTTCGCAAATGGCAGAAAGGACCACCTCGGCACCGAGCTGGTGGCAGCGACGCAGGCACGCCCGCGGGTCACGATCCCCTTGTGCAGGGCCCCAGCACGGCCATGCCTGATGCTGGCGACGCGCACCGTCAGGTGGCGGCCAAGCTGGTCACGGTTAACCCTGGACCTCACGGGCCCCTGCTCAACTTCTTGCCGTACTTCTTCGGCAAGGCAGTGCTGGTCCAGGAGACGCGGGTGGTCGACCAGCGGCTCGGGGCTGGTCAATCTGTCGCGCGATGCAGGTTGGCACGGCCTCTGGGCCCCTGCCGGGGAGACGGGAGGAGCGTCCGCGGCGTCGTTCTCCAGCGGGGCACGCGTGCTCGCGCCTACCAGCGTGATGGCCACGATGCCCCCATGACGGGGATCATGTCGTTTCTCCCCATCACGCTGTGGCAGCTCATGTCCACTGGGTTGTTCCTGGTGGTCTGATTGTCGTCAGCGTGCACACGGCTCAGGGCATCGGCGTCACTGGGGCCAACCTCTCGATCCGATGGGCGCTTGCGAAGCGCGCGGCGGCTTGGAACGCACGCGGCCTTGACTGGATCATCGGGGGCGACTGGAACGCCGACGGCCAGAGCATCAACATTGGCGACTGGGTTGGGTCTGTGGCAGGCACCCTCCTCCAGCCGTCGGCCCCTACGTGCGTCACCTCCAAATGGGGTGTCCACCATCGACCACTTCTTGGCGGTCAGCGATCCCGCGCCCCGTGTCTCTCGCCAGCCCGAGGCGACACATGGATGCGGGGGCATTCCCAGACCTCGCTACCCAGTGGGGCTGGAGCGGTACGGGAAGGACGCGCCGACGTGGTGCCGCGTCCCTGATGAGCCTCGACCGCTGCCTGCAGCACCCCCTGTTGGCTGCGCTCGTTTCCCTTTTCCTCGGCCCACGTTGGATGGCCCGTTTACGCGGGCAGCCTGCGCCGCAGAGGGTCACTGGCTCGGACCATGTCCAGCCCAGGCCCGATCGGGACCGATACAGGTCCGTCGATCAATTAGGCCCATTAGGCAAATCTAAGCGCGATCGATCGGGACGCGCGGGCCAACGTTACCGCCGTCGGACCTGGGCCCATGGCCAGGCCGTCGGCGAGGTCGGTACACCCGATGATGTCTTGCAGCAGCCCTGGGGCTCCTCTCTGCAGGGCATTGACGACGAGATCGCAGGCAGGCACGACAAAGTTGGCCCTGGAGCCAGCCGCTTCGTCGGGCACCACGGCCCCCCCCCAAGGTGAAGTGGCGGCAGTTGCGGTGGGGGCCACCTCGCAAGCGCCTGCACCACGACACCACAGTCTGGGCTTGGGCTACCGCGGCACGCTGGGCGACTCACCTTCGCGCCGAGCGTGATCGGGCCCAGCGGTTTTGTCACCGGTTGACTGCGGCGGCGGCGCATGCGTTTCCAGCTCCCAGGCAGCTGTAGAAGACTGCCAGCGTCTTCTACGACACCCTCTGCTTCCTGAGCCCCATTGCCGGGCAGGACAAAGTCCTCACCGATATCGACCCCTGCTACCGCCAGTTCTTCCTGCGCGGGCTGGACGGGCTGATTGCGGGGGACGTTGATGGCATGGTAGATGCAATCGTGGGCCGCGCGGAGGCCCTCACTGCCGCGGCTCGCGGCGCGTCGGAGAGAGCCAGGCGCAGCTGGGCTCAGGCGGCCTTCAATAGGGGGAGCGAAGGCTGCCCACGCTGCATCAAAGGTCAGGGCGCAGCAAGAACTCGTCGCCCCTGATGCCGATGCCCAGCCATACATCCACGCGGACCGCACCACGCGCGAGTGGAAGCGGATCTGGGCGACCCATGGGCTGGAAGAGCTGCCTCTACCCACGGATGCACCTACTTGGGAAGGGGCTGCCTAGCCTGACGGCCCATGACCTACGGCAGGCCATCCGTTCGTTTTCTCTCGCCGCCGCCTCGGGGCCCACCCGCATTCCACCGAAGGCGCTTGAGCACTGATCAGACGAGGATCTCAGGAGGTTGGCGATGATGTTCTAAGTTTTTGAGCAGCACTCACGGTTTCCCTATGACCGCCTGTGTAGTGAGATGGTCCGTCTCCCTAAGCCAGATGGTGGCCACAGGCTGGTTGTGTTGAGCCATGCTCTCATACGAGTCTGGGCGACAGCACGCCGATGGCTGTCGGCTGAGTGGCAACGGCTGCACAATTGCGACGAGATGTGGGGTGCTCGAGGCAGCCACACATCCACGGCCTCGGCTTTCGCTCACAACCTGGAGCAAGAGGTGGGCAGCCTCATAGGCGACGACACATGCAGCATCCTCCTTGACATGGTGGAATGTTTTGACATGGTGAGCCCCCATGCGCCCACGCGGAAGGCACGGGAGCTGGGTTACCCGATATGCCCGCTATGGATGTTGATGCAGCTCTACCAGCAGCCACGGCGCATCAAGGCGTACGGTAGCCTTGTCGTGCTCCTTCGTCGCCTTTCAAGGGGTGCTGGCGGGGTGCACACATGCCACCTACCTCATCTATTTGCCGACGCGCCGTGTCCTCCAGCGGGCCAACAGGGTGGCGCCGACCATCAAGTCACGTTCGCTGGTGGACGATATCGGCCTGCAGATGGTCCCCCCCGACCTCGGTGATGTGAAGGTGCTGCTTCGCACTGCGATGGTGCTCACTGCAGAGGCCAGGGACCTCGGGCTGATTCTCCAACCTGCTAAGTCCGCGGTGGTGGCTGGGTCAGCGCAGGTCCGCCTTGCGGTGCGTAGAGTCCAGCGGCGGATGCTTCGGGCGGTGCTCCAAGCCCGACACATGCGCAACCTTGGCCATGAGTTGCATGGCCCTCGGGTGCTAAGGAAGGTTGAAAAGAAGCGCCTGAAGGCCGTGCGGGAGCGCAAGCACCGACTCCTCATGTTGCGTCGCGCGGTAGGGCGCAAGGCCTCCACCCTGTGGCGGACTGGGCTCATGCCGTCCGCAGGGCACGGGGCTGGAGTGTCGGGGTTGGCGGATGCGCCCCTACGCGAGATGCGCAATTTGGCCGCGGCACTCAACGGGCGCAGTGACAAACCACGCGGGCGTCACGGCATACCTCCTTGCTCACCCTTCGGAGGAGTACGATCCCATCTATCATGCCACGCTGGACCTGGTCTTGAACTACGCCGCCTGGATTTGGGATGGGCGCGCGTCACCTAGCCGCCTCCAAAGGGCTTGGACAGCGCTCCATGAGCGGGCTGTCCCAATCAGTTGGGCCAATGCCAAAGGTCCCCTGGCCGCGACGCGGCTGGCGCTCAAGCGCTAGCCTGGGGCATGAAAGCACCGCACAGTTTGCAGCACGACTTGGGCAACCAGTATGACCTGCACCGCGCGCGCCCTGCTGACCTGCGACCTTTCTTGGTGCAAGGCGTGCAGCGCTGGCAGCATGACCGCCTCACAAGCCACATGTACTCCACGCTGGCGCGCCTATATGGCACCGTGGGCTCAGGCATGCGGTCAAAGGTGTCCGTGCCGCCAAGCAGCTGGGAGCGTTGCGGGCGCTGTGGTCTGACAACATACCCATGCCGATCCGCAGGGACATGAAGCTCGGCATGCCCATGCGCCCCTGTCAGGCTTGCGGGAAGGCCCTTGCGCCCGATGAATGCTGGGGCCATGTAATCTTGAAATGTCCCGCGCTGCTGACCCGCCCCCCCCCCCCAAGGGGAAATGCGACCCATGGGCAGGAGCCGACGGACCATGTCCAAGGCCTTGGACCATGTCCAAGTGCCCTTGAAATACAGCAGGGTCTAGGCGACCTGCGCCAGCAGGCTCGCGACCACCTCCAGAGTCGGGCCGACCCGACCCCACCGCCCTACACTTGCGCCCAGCACCACAGCACCATGGGGGCCGAGGACAATCTCTTTCCTGGCGTCGGGCAAAGGGTTGACGAAGAGGCCGACGTTGGGCCACCCGATGGGTACGACGGCCATCAGGTGTTGATGCGGTTGGACGCGCAGAGTGTCATCTGTACGCCGCCGGTTGCTTCGGAACGGAGTGACTTGTTGTCCCCTGCGGCGACGGCTCCAGCCTCGGCGCCTGGCGCACCATGCCGCGATATCTTCCACCTCCCCAGGTGCTGGCTGAGGTGCGCGACCAACTTATCCAAGCGGGTCTTGGATCAGGCACGCCGAATTTCGAGCAATCCTACCTCGTCTTTGGCATGCCCGAGCCTCCCGCCTATCTGCCACGCGCAGACACGCGGAGGCATGATGTCTGCCTTTGGGGCGACGCCCATGGCGTTTGGGGCCCCGTTTCTTACACCGACGGGTCTGGCTACGACTCAGATGTTCCCGAGGTGCGGAGGTGTGGACAAGCTGTTGTGCAGCTTGATCCTTACTCTTGGCTCCCAGTTAGGGCGCGGTTCGGTCCCCTACCGCATTTGGTGCAGACTGTTGGCCGCGCTGAGAGGTACGCGATCAGGGAGGGGCTCGGCACGTTCCCTCACCACCAGTGCTTCGTCACTGACCTGCTGGCGCTCGCCCAGGAAGGAGAGCGCCGGTGCCCCGAGCTCGAGCAGGGTCGCGCCAAGCATGCTAGAGCGCGGCGGGACATCTTCGCGGCCAGCCGCAGACGCATCCTGCGGGACCCCCCAAGTTCCGATGGACGCCTGCGCACAGATCCTTGGAGGAGCTCGCGGGCACAAGGCCGCAGGAGTTGCGCGACTGCGCTAGGCAACGGCTGGGCAGACTACTTCGCGCGCTGCGGTGCGGCCTTTCACGCACTGGCTGGGTCGGTGGCCGAGGCGGCAACTGCCGCGCTGAAACAGCACCGCAAGGTCCTGCATTTCATCTCGCGGGCCGCATTGCAGGCGGCGGCTCGCAAACACTGGGGGTGCGACGTGGAGGTCCCCAGGCCACCTTGCGAGCAGGCCAGACCCACTGTGGTGGCACGAAGCACGGACCATGTCCTTGCTTACTGTGCCAGCCTCGGGCGGTACCGATGCACCCAATGCGGAGTCACGGCCACAACAGGCCCCCCCCTCGATTCGCTGCAAACTGGCACCCATCGCGCATGTCGGCCTTCGCGCGTTGCCAGAGCTCTCAACGCCGAGTACTTCCGCACCTTCGGCGAGGGTTGGGCCCTCTGCAGCGACCAAAGGGCCGTCATGGCCATGGGCGCGGCTCTGGCGCTCGAAGGGAGCTCGCAGCCCTCGACTCCTGCGGCCTTGGTGCCACCTGCCCTGGCCGAGGAGGTAGGGGGTGCTTTCGCCGCGCTTGGGCACGACGTGTTCAGGGGCAACAATGTCTACTGTTGCAGACGCTGCTGGCTCGAGGTGCGAAGGGCTCTCGCCCAACGAGTCCACGCGCCGCAACCAGCAAGATGCGATCAGGCGCGTCGAGAAGGGACTGGCGCCTCGCGCCCGACGTACCCCAGCGGCGCAGCTCCCACAGGGTGGCCCCTCTCGCAGCCACGCGGCGCGATGATCGACCATGTCGTGATTCGCTGCCGTTCCGTGGCCGGCTGGTGGCACGGCGTCTTCTTCGGCGGCGACGCTTGCTTCGTCGGCGGCAAGTTGGCCTACGTCGACGCGCCCTTGGCCCTCTTCCTTTACGCGCGGGTCTTCTTCCACGCTTTCTTCAACCTTGCCCCCTCCGCCATCGCGGCGCGGGGGCGCCGCGCTGTCGCTCGTCGGTCGCGCCCGCGGCCGTTCGGGAGACCCGCGCGAGGCGCTGCGCTCCTCCTCGGACGGCTCGCGCGGGTGATGCGGCAAGGCGTTTTATGCCGTTCGGGGCCACAGTCAACCCGCACAGTAAGGATGAGCGGCTGTCCAAGGTCACCTTTGCATACTTCCCCCTCGGCTCATCCTTGGCCATTTTCGCTAGCCGCGCCCCACTCGCAAAGTGTCGATATGGCATTCCAAGGCCCTTGCATCCTGATCGTGCGTCCTGAGTATACGCGTTGATTGTACTTGGGCCCACGCGCCGACTAACGCCCTTGACACGTCCGACTACACCGACGTGGTAAGGCTTTCTTCTCGAGGACGTTCCGAAATCTGCAGCATAGGCTTCCTGGAGTCTTCGGAGGTCCCCAGGAGACCCGAGGCTTCCACAGGTTGCAGGAGCACCAGAGAGGCCAAAAACGTCAGAAAATTTAGATGGTTTATCCTCCTCGATACCCCCCCTTCCCACCCCCCGAAGTTTGCGCGAAGCCTTACATACAATGATAGATGTTGAGTGCGTTTTCATCAACTCCCACAATCACAATGAACGCTGACATGCATGATCCAGATCGATGGCAATACAAGACTCACGCGCGAAGGGCACAGATGCCCGGAGGTATCCAGAAGCCCCCGCAGGTTCTCAACGGCCACCTCCAGGGGTCTCCACAGGCCTCCGAACACCTCAAGAGGCTCGGAAACGAACTCAATTGCACGACTACCTTTGTCATCGACACACACACACACGCACACACTGCCCGCCAGGCCAGCCCGCAGCTTGGAGCGGCGCCCCTCCCCGGCGCCGACCTGTGGAGCAACTGGCGCCCTGGCGGCGCGGCGGTTACCAGCAACTGGGAACGCGGCGGCTTCGGCAGTGGCGGCAGCCCAGCTGGCGGCTGGACCCAGGCGTCGGCCGCCGGATGACGCTAAGACACCCAGCCACCTTGACCCACACAGTTTGGGTTTCTTGGGAGGCTCCTCGTCGCCACGGCCGGATTCTTTTTGACGTCTGGTCAAAACGTACCCCTGAAGAGGTCGGGGCGACGATTTGGACGAATCGGAGCATTCGACGGTCGAGGTTTCTGGGCGTTTTTACTCCTTGTTAGACTCGGACGAGGAGGATCAAGGTGCAGGGTGGGGGAGGAGGAGGAGGAGGAGGAGGAGGAGGAGGAGGAGGAGGAGGAGGAGGAGGAGGAGGAAGAGGAGGAGGAGGAGGAGAAGGAGGAGGAGGGGGAAGGGAGGAAGAAGAGGAGGACGACGATGAGGAGGAGGAGGAGGAGGACCAGTGCAAACCCAAGAGTCGCCAACGATGTTGGAATAAACCATGTTGGAATAAACCCTCCCACCAAGCTCTTTCTTCACGGGCCCCTACAACGGCTCATGTGCATTAAAGGAACTGCTTCTTTGGAAGACAACCGTTTGAAGACCCTGAAGCGTGCCAAAACATTGTTTTCGGGATTCCAACGCCACGGATCAACCTACAGTCTCGACAATCCTGAATCGTGCCAGAACACCATTCCTGGGACTTCAACACAGCGAATCAACAGAACGGTTGCACCCACATAATTCTGAGTCCTTTCAAGACAATTTCTGACACGATGATGATGGGAAGCCGTGGAGCTCTTGCAAATGAATGTGCGCCGCGCTAAAGCGAGAGCCACATATTGAAAACGACCCGCCCTCATTCCGTGAAACGGCTGCAAGGTTGTACAATGAATGTGCGCCGCGCTAAGGCGAGAGCCACATATTGAGAACGACCCGCCCTCAATCCGTGAAACGGCTGCAATGTTTTACAACGAATGTGCGCCGCGCGAATGCGAGAGCCACATTTTGAGAACGACTCGCCCTCAATCCGTGAAACGGCTGCAATGTTTTACAACGCATGTGCGCCGCGCGAAGGCGAGAGCCACATTTTGAAAACGACCCGCCCTCAATCCGTGAAATTGTTAATGTTTTATAACGAATGTGCGCCGCGCTAAAGCGAGAGCCATTTTTTGAAAACGAACCGCCCTCAATCCGTGAAAGTGTTGCAATGATTTACAACGCATGTTCGCCGCGCAAAGGCGAGAGCCACATTTTGAAAACGACCCGCCCTCAATCCGTGAAACTGTTGCCAATGTTTAGCTTCCGAGTCATAAATGGTGAGGAAGTCTCAGGCGAAACGCCGGGCCCGCCCCAAAAACTGGCCCCGGGGTGCGACAGGGAGAAATTATGTATAAGGAAAAGGAATGGAGCGACGAGTGAGGAGTGAGGAATGAGGAGAAGTTGAAGGAGGAGGAGGAGGTGAGGAGGGAGGAGAAGGAGGAGGAGGAGGAGGAGGAGGACGGACGAGGACGGACGAGGACGGAGGTGGACGGAGGTGGAGGATGACGGCGGAGGAGGAGGAGGACGATGTATGGAAGGGGAGGAGGAGGAGGAGGAGGAGGAAGAGGAAAAAGAAGAAGAGGAGGGGGGAGAAATGAGTAGGAGGATGGGAAGGAGGAGGAGGGGGGAGGCAGGAGGAGGAGGAGGAAAAGGAGGAGGAGAAGGAGATGGAGATGGAGAAAATTAGAGGACGAGTGAAGGAGGAGGAGGAGGAGGACTGGGAGGCTCGTCGTCGCCACGGCTGGATTCCCTTCGATTTATTTTTCGATACGCACTCCAGAACAGGCCTAGAGATCAATTGTTCACCCCCGAACCCAGAGGCCAGTTTACCTCCAGCGCTCGAGGGTCGATATGTCTTGGCACATTCGGGCGTTTTCTGGATCTCCTGAGGCGCCCCTCGTCGCCACGGCTGGATTTCCCCCGACATTGCTTCAAGAGCGCACCCTTTGAGATGTCTGGGAGTTCTCTCTGACCCTCGAACATCACCGGGCAACACCAAGGGGGGTCACAACTCCAGGCTCCTGTCCCTCCTGCCTACGAAAACGTGGCGAACCCCCCAAGCAGTGCCCCCCCTGCCCGCTGGCGTTGCCTGGTATCCCTCTGCTCTGACGTCCCCAGACCTCCAACGTCTGGAGATGTCAAGACTGCGCGTTCGTTTGTCCTTTTCGGCCTCCATGGAGGGGACGGGTTCTTGGGTCGAGAGGTCTGGGGGCCCACGCGCTGAGGAAAAAGCAGGATGTCAGAGGTCTGGGCTTTGCCATCGTGCAGAAAAACGGTGATCGTTTACTCGGTCTCTCTCGGCCCCACCCAGGCCCCCACATATTAATCCAGCTCGATAGGAAAGCCACACGACGATCGGATCGAAAGCGCTGGTCGCGATGCTATTCTCGAGTTTCGTCAATTGTTTGGGTCGGCGTCGGATGTCTGCGTACAGTCAAACCGCACAATACGGATGAGCCACTTTCCAAGGTTACCCTTGCACTCCTCCCCATTCAGCCCATCTTCGGCCGCTTTCGCTGGCCGCGCCCCGCTCGCAGAGTGTCGACATGGCCTTCGAAGGCCCTTGCATCCGCATCGTGCGTCCTTATTACACGGATTGGCTGTACATCGATCCTGGCCGAGCCCATATTGGACCCAGGATCCGTGGACAGGCTTGCCCGGCCTCGCCGAGCGGGCGTGCCCACCGTTTCTTCTGGGCCGCTGGCACGCAGCCTGGCGGAGGCTGTCTCTCGCCTTCTGCGCGGCACACAGCGCTGGTTTCCCCGAGGTGCCCCGACCGAGGGGCGTCCTGTTTGGAGCGCCCGCGGCTGCGCTTCGCCCCGCGCGCCCAAAGGTCCAGGATGGGCCGGGCCAGCAATTGCGCGCGAGCAGCAGGCCAGCCGCCACAGGGGGGGAGCGCGCTCCTTGCCCCCCCCAGGCGGGGGCCCATAGACTTCGATGCTCCCCTCGAGAGAGCGTCGGCACGACGGGCTCGCCAAGGGGGGGGCAGGGACAGGGTAGGAAGTCTGCCGCACGCAGCTGGTTTCGGCCTCGCCGCCGGGCGCCTTCCTCGATACAGTGCCAGCTGAGCGAATTGATTCGCTGTTCTCCTTTTGCGGCCAACTCAAGTGGGCACACAGCTCCCCCTGGTCGTGGCTGGTCGGGGAGGGGTAGGCTCAGGCGGGTCGCCCACGGGGACCTGATAGCCCGCTTCGCCCAGGAACGCGCGGTTTCACAATCGGGAACATATCGCCGATCTACCAGCGATGTATCGCCGATTCCAGGCAGGCTAATGTCCTCCCCTGAGCCAGTACCCCCTTGTCGTTGCCCTTCAGCCCCCCCCCCCCCCCCCAGGCCAAGAGCGCAAGCTCCTGGAGCTCCTGGGGCAGCTGGGACCGCGGCAGAGGACGCGCCTCTCCGTCCCGAACGGGGCGCCCCTCCTGCTGGAGGCCCTAGCCTTCGCTTGGGCATCGGCCGCCCAGCACTGAAGCTGAAGGGGGGGTCCAGGGGCGGGGGCCTGGGAGGAGGTGGGAGGGATGGGATCAGGGGATGGGGGATCGGGGGCGCCAGGCGGGGAACGGGGGGGAAGGCGGGGGAGGGAGGGAAAGAGGAGGAGGAGGAGGAGGGACAAGAGTTTTTTGGGGCAGAAATGCATGATTATGCTAGCTTGTCCTATCTAGAGGGGATGTGCATTAATCATACAAGTTGGAAGATTTGCTTATGCAGAGGAGATTGGTTCTAGTCGGCGCCCAGCCCACCAGTTCGGGGCTCAGGCGTAGGAGCGTTTCTATGCAGCATCTCTCCCAGGGGGATGGATTTGGGGATCGCGGCTACGACCTTATTGGAAACGGTGGGAAGGGAAAATGTGATGCTCCTGAAAGAGGATGCATGCGTCTCCCAGGCCGTGGGTAAACGCAATGGTAGAGAGCTGGGCACGCATCCACACTCCCGCGGTCATCCCCGAGTACCGAACATGTGTTGAACAGTTGGTCTCACCATTACAGTTGCCATCGCCTGTTTGTTAGCCTCTCAAGGGAGGGGAGACGATAAGGATAGTGGAGGGGGGAGCAGCGCAACCTGGATCGAAAATGGTTTCATCGATACGAGGACCTGCATGTGTGCTGTTCGGCATACGGTCATGTCGGCGTGTCAAAATTAGGCGAGCCAAGTCATTATTATGTTAATAACATGTGCCATTCTTTCCTCGTCGAGAGTCGTTTCCCTTTTTTCTTCCTCACTAGCCTCCACGCGGCAGCTGCAGTTCTTGCCCATTGAACTGGCAGCGTGACCCTATGAAGGTCACATGTAATGGTGGTCTGCCCCCACGCCAGCCTTTCCAAGTATGAGTCGGGTTCGTCTAGCATTCCTGAGGGGGAGCAAGAGCCGTGTGACAGCGTGATTGATGCACCTACGAACAGGAGGCTTTTGCCCAGGCATGAGTCTATACTTCAGACTGAAGATCAGTCGAGCTGCCAGATTTCAGGCTGAAACCCCCCCGGGTTCGATCGCTTGCCCGCCGAAGCTGCACTAGCCATGTTTGTTTCGTTAGGTGCTGGGAGTGGTTTAGGGTTCACCTTTTTACAGATTGGCCCCTGGAACATGGGGATAATGAAAACGCAGCGTGGGGACTGGTTCTAGTTTTCGAGAAACTCATAAGGACTAGCCTGTGCGGTTTGATGGAGCGGGCTAGAGCTGGAAAGCATGCGCACTCCAGCCACCGACAGGGAGTATCCATCACCAGCACACAATGTGTGGCAGCATGTTCGACGTTAATCTAGATGACCAGTCTTGACCCTGCCATCTCGCCGTCTCGCTTGTTATATATCTCTCTTTCGCTTTTCGGAAACCGACTCCTTACACGTTGGCAATGCTTTAAGAGGGGTCACTTCGCCGCCGAGGACGAACAAGCTGATTCGATTAACATGTGCATTTGCTGAAATTATCAAACAACGTTTGACGAGGTACCCCGGCCTTTGCGCCGCACATGCGCAGGGTCATTTAAGCACCTCATGGAACACGCTTGCTGAGTGGATTGCCAGGTGCACCCATCGCGGAGAGGCCAGCCCCACCACCTTTTCCACCAGAGCTTGTCGATGCGCCAAGATACTCACTTGCCAGAGAATAAGAATGGCTGAGTTCAGCTCCAAGCTGCGTTCAGAACCCGTCCGCCATCGTTAAGTCATGAACCCTTTTCGGGCACCACCGTGCCACGAGGAGGAAAAGGATCTCAATGATACTTTCCTGGACCTGTTGCGGGGGTCGAGGGCTCTTATCGGGTTGATTTCTGCATGGTAAAATACGACATCCGTTCTGCATCTACCAAGCTCGTCCGAGCCGAAAGGGGCACCTCAGGAGGGCCAGGAAGGAGGCCATCAGAATGCAATTCGAAAGGGAATAGATTTCCTTCTTCCGCCACACAAGAAAATCAAAACACGCATGGCACCCGAGTTGCTGGTTGGTTTATCATGCTGTCTCCGGGACACGGAGAGGACAGTCTTGGTGTCGGAGTTCGGATCAATCTCGCAGTTCCGCACGCCACGGATGAGAAGGACGAGACGAAGAAGCTGCGCGCGAGGAAAAAAACAGGTTTGAGCCGCGCGGGTCAGCCCAATATTCCGTGCCGCTAGGATTGCCGCCAAAGCGTTAGCCTACATGTTGATTGCCGCCCATGCTCCGCACCAGAGACAATCCGATGGTGCTCAGCGTTCGTCTCGGCGGGAGTTTGAAGACCTGTGCTCCGAGGTTGGAGCCCAAACAGTATGAGTAGATGCCCGCGCGCTGATTGGCTCGGCCACCCCATGCTCAGTCGGCAACCCTGGCCTCGCTCAGAAGCAAGATGAGATGGGGAAGGCACTGCATCAAGCTGCTCTTGACCATGCCTTAGTTGTGCTCAATACGTAGTTTGACGACCAGGTGAGCGGAAGATGTTACATATGCCCACAAGGTCCATTACATCAGATTGACTACGTCATGACGATTCAGTCATGGATGAAGAGGTGCCCGGATTGCCTGGCGACGCCCGGCGTCGATAATTGCATGAGAAGGACAGACCATTTGCCCGCGCATGCTAGGTTCTCGCGGACGTCGGGCGGCCCGAAGCGCCCGGCGCCGCCCCGCCTCTCTTGGGCCCCCCTCGGCGATCTCATTTGTCGCTTTAAGTCCGAGGCTAAAAAACGGACCCCCCCCCCCCCCACCATGCGAAGTGGATCTGAACAGCCACTAGCGAGCCGCAACCGAAGCATGAAGGGATGCGCCCCACACCTATTTTGACGCGCGTTTCGGCCGGAGCCTTGGATGTCATCGCCGCGATATGAGTCATCGCCTGTAGAAGAGGCGGAGCGCGAGTCTCGCGAGAGGCATTGCATCTCAGCGGCGCGGCTCGCGAGAGCAAAGCTCGGCCGACGCGGCTCCCCCACTCGCCCTCTCGCGCACGCGGGCCTCTCGGGGGACCGCGTGGCCGCGTCTGAGACTCGCTCTTCGACGCCTCGAAAAAAGCCGCTGCTTAACCTGTCGCACGGGCTGCCAGCGCGGCTCTGCAGCGGGGCCGGAACTCCCCGGCGACGCCAGTCCAACTCCCCGCTGCGTTTACTAACTTCCTCGAACAAATCCCAGCCATGCCTAGATATGGTCCTGGCGACGGATCAAGTTCGGATGATGGAGGAGCGCGCAGGAAAGATTCGGGTCCCCATTGACGCCAACGCGACCAAGGATGAGTGGAGGGCACGAGTGTCGGGGGGAGAGCCAGTCAGGAGAATGCCCAAGACGTCTTACCCCACGTCCGCAGCCATTTTGGCTCAAGTTTCCATTGGTCCCCTGGGTGGGACCAAAGGGGGCTTGGGCGCCGTTGCCTGTCTGGCTCAGGGACGACCACGGCAGGTGTGGCAGCCCACACCAGGCCTTCTGTCGCGGCTTCAGGCACGCGCCCATTTCTCCTTTCCCCAGTCACCACGACTCGGGTGACCCCAGTCTCCCCGTCTCTTGCCATGACCAAGAAGTCTACAGTACGTGCGGCAAGACGCGCCAGGGCATCAAGCTCGAGTGATGAGGAGCAGCGTCACAGCGAACGCAGCCGCTCAGTGGCCAGCTCGCCGTCATCGTTCACGAAGATTGGTGGGATGAGCACTCCTGGGTCTGCTGCGCCGCCGACCACCCCGCCTGAGCGGTTGGCCGACCTCTTGTCTAGTGTCAAGGAGTCCAACACAGGCATTGCGCGCCTCGAGCAGGCTATGCATCAAGAAATTGCCGAGGTTCGTGCGGCGTTGGTGCTTCAAGATCAGAATGTACGAAGTGTTGCTGAACGTGTTCGCCGACTGGAGCAGACCGACATCACGCCGTCCGTGACCGAGGCAGTGAACCTTGCGATCACCACGAAGTTCGACGACATCCAGCAGCAGCTCGACAACATGAAGCAGAGTCCGCATGCCCCATCACCTGCCGCGACTCCGACTCCCGACGGCCCGCGACAAGCGGCCATGGAGCGTGCACATCGCAGTGTCATTGTTGGTTTCCCGCGCAAGATGATGAAGGCTTCCCTCACGAGGGCTGCGAACATGTTCATCACCGCTGGCATTCCCTCTGGTGAACAGCAGCCTGTCCTTCGCGCTTTTGACATGACTAAGAAGGTCACACTAGACTTCCCCAGCTCGCAGAAGGCCAGCGACTTTCTGGCCAACCTTGCTGCCAAGCAACCCGTTTCCTTTCCTGACCCAGTCCACCCAGGACAGGCATGTGAGTTGCGCGCCAAGCGGGACATGGAGCCAGGCACCCGCCTTCTTTTTCTTGCCATGGGCAAAGTCCGTGGTGCCCCCGCTGCAGCCACCCGCCCGCTTCAGAAAGAAATTGGATCGAATGGATTAGGGGGTGGCATTTTCCTTCTTCGCACGGCGGAGGACCCGATCCTTCTCTGCCACCTTCGCCTTGCTGCAGGCGGCCCGAAGCACGCTGTCGAAATTGTCTTCGCCCCTGATAATTTCGCCGACTTTCACGCGGCGCCTCACCCTCTCATTGATGACCTCAAGCGCGGAGTGGAGCACCTCAATGACGGATCCCCCTTTTGAGTCGGAAGCTGGCGAGCCCGAGGCCACGGGCGCGGAGATTGACCATCCTTCCTCTGTTCTATCTCTCGCGAGCCCTGGCTCACCAGATCCTCTGCAGTGCCTCTCTACTTATGTTCCGCATCTGTCGCATAGCAACTGTTATGTCCCGCATTCCTCCCCTGCCCCTCCCCCTTGTGAATTTTACGGTCAGGCCCATCCCTTTTGTTACCCCCACCTTCCCTCTTACTGTGTGCACATGGAATACTCAGGCTCTCTTTGCAGCAGCTCGTCCTACGAGTGCACTTGCGCCCAAGCGTTACTCTCGTTCCCTCAAGTACGCCAGCCAGTATGACATCATGCGCGGACAAGA